ATAATTGGAAGTACAGCACTTCTCAGCAAATGCGAAAGAATGGAAATCATACCAGTCTCTCAGACCATAGTGCAATCAAATTAGAACTCAGGATTAAGAAACTCACTCAAAACCACACAATTTCATGGAAATTGAACAACCTGCTCCTGAATGACTCCTGGATAATAAAGAAATTACGCAGAAATCGAGAAGTTCTTTGAAACCAATGAGAACAAAGAGACAATGTACCAGAATCTCTGGGACACAGCTAAGCAGTGTTAAGAGGGAAATGTGCAGCAGTAAATGCCCATATCCGAAAGCTAGAAAGATCTCAAATTGACACCCTAACATCACAATTAAAAGAGATAGAGAAGCAAGAGCAAACTAATCCAAAAGCTAGCAGAAGACAAGAAATAACTAAGATCAGAGAAGAATTAAAGGAAATAGGGACACAGAAAACCCTCCAAAAAATCAACAAATCCAGGAGCTGGTTTTTTTTTTTAATTAACAAAATAGTTAGACCACTCGCTAGACTAATGAGAGAGAAGAATCTAATACACACAATTAAAAATGATAAAGGGGCTATCACCACTGATCCCACAGAAATAAAAACTGCCATCAGAGAATACTATAAACACCCCTATGCAAATAAACTAGAAAATCTAGAAGAAATGAATACATTCCTGGACACTTATACCCTCCTAAGACTAAATCAGGAAGAAGCTGAATCCCTGAATAGACCAATAACAAGCTCTGAAATTGAGGCAGTAATTAATAATTGAAAAACAAGAAAGATAGGAAAACTAATTAAGCTTTCAACTCAAGAACATGGGAAAAAGCACAGCAAAATAAAACGAAAAATAGTAAATAGAAGCAGATTAAAGGCAAAATGCAGTAATTAATAACTACCCTCCCCCCTCAAAAAAAAAGCCCAGGACCAGATGGAATCACAGCTGAATTATACCAGAAATGCAAAGAGGAGCTGGTATCATTCCTTCTGAAACTATTCCAAACAATTGAAAAGGAGAGACTCCCCGCTAACTCATTTTCTGAAGCTAGTACCATCCTGATACCAAAACCGGGAAAAGACAACAACAAAAAAAGAAAGCTTCAGGCCAATATCCCTAATTGAACATCGATGCAAAAATCTTCAATAAAATACTGGCAAACCAAATCCAGCAGTGCATCGAAAAACTTATCCACCATGATCGAGTTGGCTTCATCCCTGGGATACAAGGCTGGTTCAACATAACACAAATGAATAAACATAGCACATCACATAAACAGAACGAAAGACAAAAACCACATGATTATCTCAATAGATGCAGAAAAGGCTTTTGATAAAATTCAATATCCCTTCGTGTTAAAAAATGCTCAATAAACTAGGTGTCAATGGAACATATCTCAAAATATTAAGAGCGATTTATGACAAATCCACAGCCAGTATCATATTGAATGAGCAAAAGCTGGAAACATTCCATTTGAAATCCAGTACAAGACAGGAATGCCCTCTCTCACCACTCCTATTAAACATAGTATTAGAAGTTCTGGACAGAGCAATCAGGCAAGAGAAAGAAACAAACAGTACTCAAATAGGAAGAGAAGTCAAGTTGTCTCTGTTTGCAGATGACATGGTTTTATATTTCTGTAGCCCCAAGCAGCACTTTTGCCCTGCTGGAACCAAGGAGGTTGGACAGCTTGGTCCCAAGACTTGTCCCCACAGCCCAACACATCACCTGTGGCAGTCTTTGGCCAGAGCACCTCTTCAAGTCTAACCCGGACCCATCCTTCCTCTGTGGGTGGGACTTCTTTGCAGGATCTCCAATAATTAAAGACTTAAATATAAAACCCAAAAGCATAAAACCCTAGAAGAAATCTTAGGCAATACCATTCAGGATATAAGCATAGGCAAAGACTTCATGACAAAAATGCCAAAAAAAATGGCAACAAAAGCCAAAATTGACAAATGGAATCTAATTAAACTAAAGAGCTTCCACACAGAGAAAGAAACTATCATCAGTGTCAACAGGCAACCTGCAGAATGGGAGAAAATGTTTGCAATCTACCCATCTGACAAAGGTCTAATATCCAGAACTTACAAACAACTTAAACATATTTACAAGAAAAAAAAAAACCATCAAAAAGTGAACAAAAGATATGAACAGACACTTCTCAAAAGAAGACATTTACGTGGCTAACAAACATATGAAAAAAAAAAAAACTCAATATCACTGATCATAAGAGAAATACAAAATCAAAACAAAAACCACAATGAAAAACCATCTCACACCAGTCAACATAGCAATTATTAAAAAGTCAGGAAACCATAGATGTTGCTGAGACTGTGGAGAAATAGGAATGCTTTTACACTGTTGGTGGGAGTGTAAATTAGTTCAACCATTGTGGAACATAGTGTGGTGATTCCTCAAGGATCTAGAACCAGAAATACCATTTGACCCAGCAATCCCATTGCTGGGTATATACCTACAGGAATATAAATTATTCTACTATAAGGACATATGAACAGCCGGTCACAATGGCTCATGCCTGTAATCCCAGTACTTTGGGAGGCTGAGGTGAGCTGATCGCAAGGTCAGGAGTTAAAGACCAGCCTGACCAACATGGTAAAACCCCTCCTCTACTAAAAATACAAAAATTCGCTGGGTGTGGTAGCAGGCATATGCAGTCCCAGCTACTTGGGAGGCTGAGGCAGGAGAATTGCTTGAATCCAGGAGGCGGAGGTTGCAGTGAGCTGAGATCATGCGACTACACTCCAGCCTGGGCAACAGAGTGAGACTCCGTCTCAAAAAAAGTCACAGACACACATATGTTTATTGCAGCACTATTTACAATAACAAAGGCATGGAATCAACCTAAATGCCCATCAATAATAGACTGGATAAAGAAAATGTGGTACATATACACCATGGAATACTATGAAGCCATAAAAAAGGAATACGGTCATGTCCTTTGCAGGGACATGGGTGGAGCTGGAAGTCATCATCCTCAGCAAACTAACATAGGAGGCAGAAAACCAAACACTGCATGTTCTCATTCATATGTGGGAGTTGAACACATGGACACAAAGAGGGGAACAACACACACCAGGGCCTATTGTGGTGTGAGGGGAGGGAACTTAGAGGATGAGTCAATAGGTGTACCAGACCACCATGGCACATGTATACCTATGTAACAAACCTGCACATTCGGCCCATAGATCCCCCCTCCTTTTTTCAGAAGAAATAAATTTTTAAAATGAAAAAAAATTGTACGGACTTGAAAGGATTTTACCCCCTAAAAAGGAATTACTAAAATATGGGCTTAGGAAGAAAGATAAAAGCTAAACAAAAATAATAGGTGGGAAAAGCTTTATAGGTCATTTCTTATATACACCTTCATTGACTAGATAATTTCCTGTGTTTTTTTTAAGCATCATAGGAAAAAAAAATTATTATTTTTCAGCTCATTTTGAAGTTTGCATTTTTTTTTGACACAGAGTCTCCCTCTGTCACCCCAGCTGGAGTGCAGTGGTGCAATCTCGGCCCACTGCAACCTCCACCTCTAGTGTTCAAGCGATTATCCTGCCTCAGCCTCCTGAGTAGCTGGGATTACAGGTGCCCACCACCTGGCTAATTTTTTGTATTTTTAGTAGACACTGGTTTTCACCATGTTGGCCAGGCTAGTCTCAAACTCCTGATCTCAGGCGACCCACCCATCTCGGCCTCCCAAAGAGCTGGGATTACAGGCAAGAGCCATCGCACCCAGCCAGAGCTTGCATATGCTGATATGAATATCAAATAAGAATAGTGTAAGGAAAGCTTAGTCTCATTTTTTCACCTTTACAATAAGTTTATTATATCTTGTTTTATGAAAAAAGTATGAGGTAAATAAGTATGTAAAGTATTCCATTTGTATTTTTAAAAATACTATATTTGTGTCTAAATATATGTCTATTTTTATATGTATATTGGTAGGATTTGTTTAATGAGTCTGGGAGTTAAAACTATTAAGAATGCTAACATAGGGCCAGGTGTGGCGGCTCACACCTGTAATCCCAGCACTTTGGGAGGCCAAGGTGGACAGATCACCTAAGGTCAGGAGTTCAAGACCAGCCTGACAACATGGCAAAACCCATCTCTACTAAAAAAATACAGAATTAGCCGGGCATGGTGGCACATGCCTGTAATCCCAGTTACTCGGGAGGCTAAGGCAGGAGAATCACTTGAACCCAGGAGGTGGAGGTTGCAGTGAGCCAAGATCAAACCATTGCACTTCAGCCTGGGCAGTAAGAGGGAAACTTCATCTCAAAAAAAAAAAAAAAAAATTAAAAAAGAAGGCTAACGTAGTATTGGAAGAAGAAAGGTGAAAGGATATTTTCACTCTATACATTGTGAGTGTTCTGAATATTTTTACAGTAAGCATGTATTTAATAGCATTAAAAATGTTTTTTAAATATATTTCCCTTGCTTTAAATAAATTGAAAGAATCCTTAAAGGACTTTACACATATTTTCTTTATCATAAATGAAAATACATTTTACACTTTCAATTGAGCTAAATAGGATATTTCCAAATTATTATTTGATTATATATCCACTTCATAACAAACAAAGTAAATCCCAAAGCACCTCTCATTTAATTTGCCATGGTAAGAAGTTGTGATCTTGACTCAACTTTTACTTTTGGGGAATAATTCTGATTTAGAAACTGACCTCACAATGACCCAGCATCAACACATCCCAGAGTTTTTCATTACATCTATGTTGGTAGAGGACTGGGGGCACCTTCATTATCAGTGCTGCTTTATTTTCCTCATGAAAATAAAGAAACTTAGGATGTGCACTTAGAGTAACGTATGAGAAATTGATCTTTAATTAATTAAAATAATATAAGGATTGGCCTTTTGTGGATTGTTTTCAAGTTGCTACAGATTAAATATTATTAAAGAAGAATTTTTTAAAAATTCTCTGCATCAAAATACTTTTTAATTTAATGTTCTCCAAACTTTGAATATGTTCCTAGGGTGAAGATAAAATTAAGGAGAGAAAGAGGCAATTGGGAGACACAAAACATTTTTGTCCAGTGGTCCTCAAGGAAAACTTCATCCTACAACCAGGAAACATGGAAGAAGCAGCTAAATATCGAGAAAAGATCTACTACTTTTCAAGTGCTGAGGCTAAAGAAAAGTTTTTGGAGCATCCTGAGGAATATGTGGCTTATAAAGAACCATTGAAGGTGAAACAGTACTCCTATCCTAATGATTGCTCCCACAGGATTTTATCAGGACTTACCAATCACCATCAATTTAGTTAAGGGTGAAGACCCCAATCTGATATTACAAAATAAATAAAATATCCAAGTTCAAAGAACAACTTTTTGGAATATAACATAAAATAATTATCTATTTTGATTTCTGTAGCAATGACTTGTGTCAAACCAGCACTTAATATCTGCCTTCTTAGCTGAAGTAAAAACAAAACAAAACGAAACAAAACAAAAACAAACAAACCCCACACCTTGATTAATTCCTTACTGTAATGAGGCCAGCCATGCTAGTTAGTCTCTCAGAGTAGTGCAGGCTGATGATCTTCTACAGGATTTTGGAGAAGAGTGGAATTCAGGGATTGGTGAACTTTCAGAGGCATAAGTGGGTTGACATCATCTATAGAAGTAAGATTACTCTGGTGACAATGCTGTTGACTGGTTCACACTCAGAGAAATGTTATAGGGGTAAGTCCATCCTGATTGGTTGAGTTTCAAGAGTGAGGACTGACACTGGTAGGATGGATTGCAAAAATGTAGTCCCTGAAGTGAGTTTTCCCTGATCAATTAAACCAATTTAAAATTGGCTGAGTGGCTATTGTTACCATGGCTATCCAACAGTCATTTTTCAGTGGAGCATCGTTATAGTCGAGAACACTTTGGTGAATCTTCCCTAGACATTTTTCTGTGACAGCTTTGGCTAACTTTATCAAAACACTCTCATCATAAGCAGATGTTATTGCTCTTTGGCCCTCCAGAAGCTCAGCAAGGAAAATACATTGAGCCTCCAAAAAATAACTATTGCCATGACCTTTGCGAATAACCAGTCCACTTTTGCTTTGACTGGACCACTGCCACTTCTTGGTAGCCATTGCTTTGATTGTGCTTTGTCTTCAGGATCATACTAATAAAGCCATGTTTCATCTCCTCTACAATTCTTCAAACAAATGCTTTAAGATTTTGATCCCAAGTGTTTAAAATTTCCATTGAAATCTCTGGCCTTTGTCTGCAGATGATCTGGGTACAACAGTTTTGGCACTCATTGAGTAGAAACTGCTCAACTTTAATTTTTCAGTCAGAAAAATTGTACACTGAGCCAATCTAGATGTCTAGGGTATTTGCTATTGTTTCTGTTCTTAATCATCAGTCCTTGTCAATTAGGCCACAAACAAGATAAATTTTTTCCTCACAAATTTATGTGGATGGTCTGCTGCTGCAAACTTCATCTTCAACATTGTCTCATCTCTTTTTCAAACAAATTGTCCTTTTGTAAACTGCTGATCTCTTTGGGGCATTGCTCCAAAAACTTTCATAAAGCATCAATGATTTCACCATTCTTCTGCCCAAGCTTCACCATAAATTTGATGTTTATTCTTGCTTCAATTTTAGCAGAACTAATGTTGCTCTGATAGGGGCTGTTTTCAAACTGATGTCGTATCCTTCTTAGTGCCTCAAACTATATCTTGTTTAGACATGTTATAACAAGTTAATATGAGTTTATTCAGTGCAAAAAGGGAATCCATGCATAGTTTTGTCATAATATGCATTCTCTGTCAACTTTTTGAAGACCCCTCATATTTTTAGATTTTTTAGGAAACTCCGTACTGTTTTCCATAATAGCTGTCCTACTTTACATTTTCACAACAGTGTACAGGTCTTCCCCTTTCTTCACATCCTCACCAGCATTTGCTATTTTTTGTCTTTTTGATAATAGCCATCCTAAGTGAGGTGAGATGATATCTCACTGTGGTTTTGATTTGCATTTCTCTGATGATTAGTGATACTGAGCATTTTTTCATATACCTGTTGTCCATCTGTATGTGTTCTTTTGACAAATGTCTGTTCAGGTCTTCTTTTTCCCCATTGTTAAATAAGATTATTTGGTTTTTTGCTACTGAGCTGTTTGAGTTCCTTATATATTCTGGTTAGTAATCCCTTGTTGAATAGATAATTTGCAAATATTATCTCCCATTCTATAGGTTGTCTCTTTACTGTGTCATTTTCTTTGCCATGCAGAAGTTTTTTAGGTTAATATAATCCTATGTGTTTATTTTTGCTTTTATTGCCTGTGTTTTTGAGGTCTTACCTGGAAAATCTTTGTCCAGACCAATGTCCTGTAGCACTTCTCTGATGTTTTCTTCTAGCAGTTTTATAGTTTCAGGTCTTCCACTTAGGTCTTTAATCCATTTTGAGTTTATTTTTTATATGGTGAAAGATGGGGATCTAGTTTCATTCTTCTGCATATGGATGTCCATTTTTCACAGCACCATATATTAAAGAGACCATCCTTTCCTCCATGTATGTGTTTAGTGCTTTTATAACAAATGAATTGGCTATAAGTATTTTAGTTTTCTTCAGTTGTTTTACTACTATGCTATTCTGTAATTCCCTGGGATGGGATTACTGGAGCAAGGTATATACATCACAATATATTGCCTTATAACTTTTGATAATATCAATGTCTTCTTAAAATGAACACATGGAATGCAATCTAAACTCTTCTGTATAATTTGGGCCATTTTCATGAACCTCAATGTTTTATATAGTGCGCATCAGACTACTGATATATGTGGATGGTTGTGCCCTCACAAAGAAAACCCAATCCACTGATGTTGGGGGTCATTTAAGTACTGTGGTCATTTGTCCTTTTCTGTTGTTGTTGCTTTCAGCTGTAATTTCCACTTAGTCTGGTTTGCTGTTTGTGACCTATTACCTTGTTTTACACAAACCCAGTGGATAAGATCCTGAAATCTTGACTGTATTTCCATAGTTCTGCAAAGGGTAAAATGCACTGGGTTTTCCAGAAACATTTCCCTTCCCTACCAGAGGGTACCTTAATACAGTCTGAGCACCAGACAACCCTAGTTGCCATAGGTTTAACTGATGGGTGAGTGAGGTGTTACTCCACAATTTTATCACTAAAGGGTTAAAAATGTGATTTAAGAGTATGATATGAGGCTGCAGCTATATAATTTCATGTCATTCTGTTTTTCCCGTTCCCCTTGCAAAAACTTCAGCCGCTTTGAGGCTTTTCCTACTCAGATGTATCAACAACCCCATTCTTCCTTGCTGCCTTCACCTACCAATTTCATATTATTTCCCCACAATCACAGAAGACTTAGCTGCTGCTTCATCCCAATGCTCATCATTCTTCTTGACAGTTTCAGCATTCCATGGATAATCCATACAACTGTGAGTCCTATATGAAGATTACTGGCATAAATGGAGAAGGCTCTAAAGTTTTCTTATTAGTGAGCTTTCTGTTTGGCAGAGAGATTTTTTTTATTATCTAAGAAAGTATCTTTCCATTTTGGATTAATTAAAACTTTTGTCAAAAACAAAAATAAGTAAACTCTATTTTATTAAATGCCTTTTGGCATATGATACCAAGATAATCTTATGTGGTTGTTGATGCTCCCTGAGGACCAATGCTGATGGAATTAATTATGTTAATTGAAATCCTAATGATTAAACATCCTTGAGATCATGATGTGATCATTCCTACCCAGTCTTAAGGAGGGCAGTTAATAAGTCTTATGTGTACTAAATTACTCAAAACTGCTTTTCCTTCACTCTCCCTTTATCCCATCCCTCCCTGACCCATCCCCCTGTGGCAGGCTCCTCCATTAAGAGTATGCCTTGTTGGCCCCCATGGCTCTGGCAAAACTATGTGTGGAAGACAGTTGGCAGAAAAATTGAACATTTTTCACATTCAGTTTGAAGAAGTTCTTCAAGAAAAACTACTACTCAAAACTGAAAAGAAAGTGGGACCTGAATTTGAGGAAGATTCTGAGGATGAAGAAGCTGCCAAACAAGAACTTGAAGAGTTTGCAATTCAGGCCAATGTCAAACTTGAGGAAGAAAATACAAAGAAGCAGGTAGTAATCTCTTTTTTTGTTTTGTTGTTGTTGTTGTTGCTGTTGCTGTGAAAGGGTCTCAATCTGTCACCAGACAGGAGGGCAGTGGTGCAATCACAGCTCACCAAAGCCTCAACTTCTCCAGGCTCACGTGACTTCTTGCCTTGGTGTATTAGTCCATTTTCATGCTGCTGATAAAAACATACCCGAGATCAGGTAATTTACAAAAGAAAGATGTTTAATGGACTTACAGTTAGTTCCACATGGCTGGGGAGGCCTCACAGTCATGGCAGAAGGCAAGGACGAGTAAGTCACATCTTACATGGATGGCGGCAAGCAAAGAGAGAGCTTGTGCAGGGAAACTCCCCTTTATAAAACCATCAGATTTCATGAGGCTTATTTACTATCATGAGAACAGCATGGGAAAGGCTTACCCCCATGATTCAATTACCTCCCACTGGGTCCCTCCCACAACACATTGGGAACTCAAGATGAGATTTGGGTGAAGTCACAGTCAAACTATATCACTTGGCCTCCCAAGAAGCTGGGACTACAGGTGTGCACCACCATGCCTGGCTAATTTTGGTATTTTTTGTAGAGATGGGGGTCTTGCTGTGTTGCCCAGGCTCGTCTCAAATTCCTGGACTCAAACTATTCACCTACCTTGGCCCCCCAAAATGCTGGGATTACAGTTATGAGCCACCGGCCTGGCAGTAGTAATCTCTGCAGACAGCTGTGCTTACTGGTGTCACTCTGGGAAGTAGTAGTATAAAACTCTATAAATTTTCTAAGAAGAGCAAAAAGCCCATTAAAGTCATTTAAAGAGTCACATTTGTCATATGCTAAATGCAATTCTTCCTGCTCTTCTAGAATATAAAGTACTGAGTTTTATATGATGCCAATACAAATCAGAAAAACTTTCCTTGACAAGGCTGTTGTGTAGCATTTATTTGGAACTATGGTATTTGGTATATTTGACTTAGACAATAAAGTTTTCTATTATTGTGTTCTGATTTCTATGAAATAGCATAAAAATCTGCCCCAGCTTTAGTGGAGATCTCAAAATATTAATTTCTAATGATGCCTTATCAGAAAGTTTGTACCACCTCTGTATTAGTCTGTTCTCTCATTGCTATAAACAAATATCTGAGATTGGGTAATTTTTAAAGAAAATAGGCTTAATTGGTTCATAATTCTTCAGGCTGTACAGGAAGCATAGTGGCAACTGCTTGGCTTCTGGAGAGGCCTTAGAAAACTTACAATCATAGTGGAAGGTGAAGGGAGACCAAAGACATCACATGGTCAGGGCAGGAAGAAGAGAGAGTGAGGCAGGAGGTGCCACACACTTTTAAACCACCGGATCTCGTGAGCACTCACTCACTACAGTGAGGACAGTACCAAGCGGGGAATGGTGCTAAACCATTTATAAGAAACTGTCCCCATGATCCAATCACCTCTCACCAGGCCCCACCTCCAACATTGAGGCTTACAATTCCACATGAGATTTGGGTGGAGACGCTGATCCAGACTGTATTAACCTCTTACATGGCTTCTATCTGGAGTTATGAAATGAAAGCTCTTCATTCTAACTCACATTTTAACCATTTCTGATATAGATGGGCCATTTGTTCTCAAATGATCCAGGTGCAGTTATATGTAACACTCAAAGTTGAAGAAGGGTTGGATAATGAGTGGCATATGGTGTTCCAGTAGGCAATGAAGCACCTCTTCAAACATATTCTTTTTTCTTTTTCTTTATATTTTTTTGTTTGTTTTTGAGACAGGGTCTCCCTCTCTTGCCCAGGCCAGAGTGCAGTGGCACAGTCTTGGCTCCTGCAACCTCTGCCTCCTGGTCTCAAGTGATCCTCTCACCTCAGCCTCCTAAGTAGCTGGGACTACAAGTGCACACCACCATGCCCAGGGAATTTTTGTATTTTTTGTAGAGACGGGATTTCATCCTGTTGCCCAGGTTGGTCTCAAACTCCTAACCTCCAGTGATCCACCCACCTCAGCCTCCCAAAGTACTGGGATTACAGGCATGAGCCACCTGTGCCTGTCCTTCAGACATATTCTCTAAATGTTTTTCACCTATATTTAGTAGAGTTTGGGAGAAACTGATATCCTATTAACTTAAAAAATGTGTATCAGGCCAGGCACTGTGGCTCACACCTGTAATCCCAGCACTTAGGGCGGCAGAGGTGGAGCACTGAGGTCAGGAGTTTGAGACAAGCCTGGCCAACATGGTGAAACCCCATCTCTACTAAAAATACAAAAATTACCTGGACATGGTAGCACAAGTCTGTAATGCCAGCTACTCAGAAAGCAAAGGCTGGAGAATCGCTTGAGTCCAGGAGGCAGGGTTGCAGTGAGCCAAGATCTCACCACTGTACTCCAACCTGGACAACAGAGTGAGGCTCCATCTCAAAAAAAAAAAAAAAAAAAAGTGTAGCAATCCAGATTTTTTAATTTAACAAGTCTTTAATTTTAAAGTGCAACAAATATCTCCTGCTTTTCTACAGTTTTTTGTTTGGATTTCTTTTACTGTTTTCTGAATTGTTTAACTTCTCAGAAAGCAATTAAGGGATTTTATTTTAGATAGTAAAATTAATTCTACTTTCTGGTAGGCAGCAGTTTATTGTACCCTCTCTATTCAGTTTTAGAATTTGGGAAACAAAAGTACTCAACAAAAATAGTTTTATTTTTGTAAGAACAGTTGTTTTTTTACTATCCATTCAAGGTGGTCCTACTTTAGAGAGAATTCAACTGAGTTAATTATCACAATGTTTTCTATTTGTTATTATAATACTCTTATAGTTTGTATTTCAGATGGCTGACTGTTTGGCTTATCCCATAAACAAGATCCAGGTTGGAGAGATAATACTGTATAATTATAATACAAATAACAAAAATCAGTTAAGCCTTATAGGCGTGTGTATGATAAATTGAACAAGGTTTAGCAAAAAGTAATGAGATGTGACCCCAAGACCATGTATGAATATCAATCATATTATTACTAATAATTCCTCTTAGCTACAGTAAATATTATTTACTATAGGTTGGTGCAAAAGTAGTTGCAGTTTTTGCCACTACTTTAAAAGCAAAGCTGCAATTACTTTTGCACCAACCTATATTTCTAACCATGTTAAATAATTCGTTTAAAGAAAATAGCTCAAATGTTTAAATGTTTATAAGCAACAGTATAAAACAATGACCTCAGAGAAAAAAACAGTTTGCATTCTAATAAACCATGTAATATAGTATTGTTTATGAATATAGATTTTGGGGTTTTTAAATTGATATTTGTACGTATTTATGGGGTACATGTGATATTTTGTTACACACGTAGAATGTATAAGGATCAAGTCAGGGTATTTATGATATCTATCACCTTGAGCATTTATCATTGCTATGTGTTGGAACATTTCAAGCCCTCTCTTCTAGCTATTCTGAAATATACAAGACATCGTTATTAACTAGAGTCTCCCTCTGTGCTATTGAACATTAGAACTTATACCTTCTATCTAACTGTATGTTTGTACCCATTATCCTGCCTCTCTTCATCTCCTCTATCTCTACCACACACCCTTCCCAGCCTCTGGTAACTTTCATTCTACTCTCCGCCTCCACGAGGTCCACTTCTTTAGCTTTCACATATGAGGGAGAAAATGCAATTGTTAGCAGAGAGTTTTAAAATTTGGTTTGTTTTCTGATTTTTGTTTTTAGCTTCCAGAAGTACAACTTACAGCAGAAGAAGAAGTAATCAAATCAAGTCTAATGGAAAATGAGCCACTGCCTCCAGAAATTCTTGAAGTAATTCTTTCTGAGTGGTGGCTTAAGGAACCAATACGGTATCTTAATTTATATAGAATTGTACATTTATTTGCTTTTTTTTGTTTTATTCTTAAAAGTTAAAAATGTAGTTCAACATACATTTCAGAATTTTCTCCTTTATAGTCATATAAACTGGTGATTTTTCACTTGAGATACACATTAAAAACATCTGTAGAGTTTTTTAAAATACCGATGCCAGGACCCCACACCAAAATATTTGAATTCGAATCTCTAGAAGTGTGAACCTGGGATATTTTTCATTACCCCTAGGTTATTCTAAAGTACATGTGTGGTTGAAAGCCTGTGTTCTAAATCATGTATGTGCTGGACTCATTTCACCTGTGGTCTTTTAACAATTATAGTTAAGACCAATTAATAGTTGTCCACAGTGTTATCCCTTTACTTTGAACAATCTTGACCCCAGACAGGACAAATTTAAGGATTTCCAGGTCACCAGAGTTTAAAACTTTACCTTGATTTTTTAACCAGAATCTCATGACTTGATATCCACCAGAAGAAAGTGAAATAATATTTACAGTACTGATTATAGCACACACATATATGAAACTTACTAAGTGCCAGGTACTGTTAAACTGTTTGTTGTTGTTGTTGTTGTTTGTTTTTTGAGACAGGGTCTTGCTCTGTCACCCAGGGCAGTGGCGTGGTCTCAGCTCGCTACAACCTCCGCTTTCTGGGTTCAATCAATTCTCCTGCTTCAGCCTCCTGAGTAGCTGGGACTACAGGCACCTGCCACCACAACAGGCTAATTTTTGTGTTTTTAGTAGAGATGGGGTTTCACCATGTTGGCCAGGCCAGTCTCCAACTCCTGACCTCAGTTAATCCACCTACCTCAGCCTCCCAAAATACTGGGATTATAGACATGAGCCACTGTGCCCAACCTGTATTTTATTGCTGTTAACTCATTTAATCCTTACAACAACCCTATGAAATAAAGACTTTTCATTGTGTTATTTTGGAGATAAGAAAACTGAATCAGACAGAATTTAAATGACTGGCTATTTCCAATGTTTCTCTTAGATCTCTGGGCACTCTTGTTCACGTAGTCCCTAGTCTAAATAAGTGAGTGGGATTATTATTTACCAACTTCATTTTTAATTTCTTGTTCCCTAAATTAGATCAATAGTTGGAGGAAATTTAGGCAGTTACCTGCAGCTATATAGTCATGGGTTTCTCTTTGTTATTTAGCTCCTGACCTCACACTGTACATTAAAATATATGTAGATAGATAAATAAAGATATAGATATGTAGATATAGAGATAGACATAGATATGAATTGAAAATTTTAAAGCAAAAAGTGAAATTGTAAAAGCCTAAACAAAATAGCTAAATATTATGCACCATTAAAATTTATTATAATGAATAATTTGTAATAGCATGAGAAATGTTATTACATAAAGTTAAAAAGAAGATGTAAAACTATCATGTAATAGAGAAATGCACACATGAAGAACCAACTGGAAAGAAATAAAACAAATTTTTAATAACCTCTGAGATATAGGATTATGGATAATTTTTGCCTTTTTCATGCTTTTCTCTATTTTTTTTTCAATTTTTCTATAGTGTGGTTTATTGCTTTTATAATCAGGAGGAAAAATAACATATTTTGAAAAGGTTATTGCATTAGTCCTGGAGAGATATACTAAGGGGCTTGAACTAAGGGGGAATGGCAGAAATAGAAATGTGATACAGGGGAGGATATGCCAGGACTTATCTGTTAAACGTAAGAAGCAAGAGGGAGCTAGGGGAGAGGACCAAAGGTCTCTTAACAGGTAGCACCTTAGTACTAATGGGTCGGAAGGAAGAGCAGTTTGAAGGGGTAACAGTATGACTTTTGACAGTATAACGTGTATAATTCTGGAAGGGCATTCAGATGTAGAAACTCCACAGCTTTTTGATAATTCGGAATCAAAACTCAGAAGAGAGGTTGGGTATAGAGTTAAAGATTTGGAAGTCATTTGCAGAAAAGTGACAGCAAGAACAGTAGGAATGAAATTGTCCCTGCCAGAATAGATCAGACTGAAGGCACCTCTAAAGAAAAAAATACATATATTATGGCCAATATATGGAAATTTTGCCCCTTAATAAGAAAGGAAAAGTCACATTTTTGAATTAACAACTTTGAAGGCCGAACCTGTCAAATGTTCATGAAAGTCCTATTTGTATTAAGAAGAAAATATGTATTTAAATATAAATATTTAAAACAAACCAAATTACAGATAAGCAAGAGAAACAAATTCTTATTCAAAGGGAGACCAGTATTGACTCTCTCAATTAAACAAAGCCAAGTTCTCAAAGTTTGATTGTTTTATAAGTGCTCTCTAATTAAAATGTATTAACATTCCAGTTATTTTCCGGATTCTTAAACTCTCATCACACTATCACACTTGAGCAAGTTTGACAATCACGTTTGAATATAATCATCTTGCACATAGGAACCAGGGTACATAAATTAACAATTGTTTTCAGTTACAAGGAGACCCAGGGAAGTGGGTATGAGTTGTCTCATGAAAGGAAGCACTGTTAGAAGAAAAAATGCCAAAGGTGAGGGCTCCCACTACAAGTGGGCTGGCCAGGTGTACTCTTCAAATACAGAGAACCACGCTCATTAGGCTGGGCACCCCTCCCAAACAGAGAACTGCTTTTCTCTTTTTCCTATGGTCTTCTCACAACTTTTAGTAAGCTTCCATTTAATAGTAATTGTCTATGAACCGATTGACTACAATTTTATATTACAAATATATGTATGAAATAGTGTAATTTTAATCCAATTTGATATATTTTGAAAAAGAAATGTCATGTATACAACTAGAAATATTAAAAGAAATAAAAGATAGTAGAGTGAATTTCTAAACTATTCATTGCATACAGAAAGTTGAGCTTTATCAATTACTTTTTTTACTTTTTTTCTTTTAAAATATTTAATTGACAAATAAAGATTATGTATATTCAAGGTGTACATGAAGATTTAATATACATTGTAAAATTATCATTATAATCAAATTAATGAACACATCCATTATCATATTTTAATGAAATAGAGTAATTTATGAAAATTTCCATCAGTTCCACAGGTTTTATACTAGATGGTTTCCCACGATATCCAGAAGAGGCCCAGTTTTTGGGGGAGCGTGGATTTTTCCCAGATGCAGCTATTTTTATGCAAGTTGAGGATCAAGATATTTTTGTTCGCCTCCTTCCTGCCCAAATTGAAAAGTGGAAACTAAAACAAAAGAAGAAATTAGAAAGGAAAAAACTGATCAAAGACATGAAGGCGAAAATCAGGGTATGTGTCTAGCAAAAATGCATTGAATAAATCTGTTCAGCATCTATTTAGTGATCTATTATAAAGTGATCTTCACACAAAAAAATAGTTTCCTAATTTTAATGCCACAGTAAGCATGAAACATTTTTCATCAAATATTAAGACTATAATGAGAGTTAAATATTAAAACCATAATAAGAGTTAAGAGTCAATATTTGAGGCTTTTGTGGTGATCAGTGTCTTAATGCTTCTCTCTTTATGGCAAATAAAAGATAGTTATGGCAAATAAAAGATAGTGGTAATGCCAAGGCTTCCCTCTTCCAGACATGGGAGCAAAGTGAAGAGGTAACGAACAGAGATTTGAAACACAAACAAGTAAAATTTCAGAGATCTTTTTCACCGCCCCTGGAGTGATGACACCATCCATCAAGGCCATGCGAGACTGCAGTGAAAATCAGATCCACATTAGCTTAGAACATTGTCCCTAAACCTACATTCTGAAGAGTATTCCATAAAATGTTCAGAAGTGTCACAGGGAACCAGCAATTCCACTACTGGGAATCTGTCCAGCAAAAATGAAAATAAAGTATACGTAAAAAGTTATATGTGAATGTTCATAACAGCCTTATTCGTAATAACCAGAAAGTAGAAACAACCCAAATCATCAACTGATTAATAGAAAAACAAAATGTGGTATATGCTTAGAACTGAAAACTACTCAGCATTAAGAAGGAATGGCCTAGTGATACACCTGTAACATAGATAAAAATCAGAACCATTATCCTGAGTGACAGAAGCCAGGCAAAACAGGAGTGCACCCTGTACAATTCCATTTATATGACATGAACTGAGAAGGCAAACCTGCAGGTCTGGACTCGGGTAGAAAGAATGGGCTTTTGAGTCTGGAGCTAGGATGGCCCAGAGGATACATGAGAGCAGTGTTAAATGTTTGAAGGGCTTTTATACCGAAGAGAGCTTGGAGTTACTCCACATGGCTATAGGGGAAAGAACTACCAATGGTAGGAGGAAGGTACGGGGAAAGTATATTTCATTCTCAGTAAGACAGCTCATAAAGAACCAGGACTGAAGGCAGGGAGCTTCTTGCCAATAAATAAGCATAAACTAGATGGACATTTGGCAGAGGAGAATGGAAAAATGTGTCAGAGAGCTCATCTATTAAATCCAATTCTGAGATACTAAGACTTGTTATGTAATACATTCTCACAACTCAACACTCATTCAATTACAGACTGCCAAATGTTAAAGCCAAGCAGTTCTTCTTTCATTGCTCAGACAGTCTTCAAATTCCTTTCATCTTGGGGTTAGCCAGAGGAAATCCCTTCAAGGTCATTGCCATCCCTTCCTCTCCCCAACCACATTAAGGTTGCACGTCCCGGGCCATCACTGGTCTGCACAATATCAAGGCAGGCAGAGTTCTTAGCTATCCAAGAACTATGGAAGTAAGGAGGGAGATGGAATATACCCAGCTCCATACTGTTCTTGATGACATTCTTCCCTTTTTTGCTGCCTAGTTTTTCTGATAAGGTAGGCCAAACTGTCTGCCATGCGAGACAAAAGCCCGTTCATATGTTGCTTCACTGTGGGGCCTGGCATATCTAGGCCAGTGCTAAGAACAGAAATCTCTGTGATGACAGAAATGTCCTAGATCTGCGCTGTCCTATACAGGAACCACTAGCTGCAGCGGCTGTTGAGCACTTAAAATGTGATTAGTGTGGCTGAGAAATCAAATGTTTAATTTTATTTAGTTTTAATATAAATAGCCACACACAGCTAGTGGCTATTGTACTGGACAGAACAGCTATAGGGCAGTGAAGCCACATCCTAGACATCACATGCTTTAAGAATTTTAGGGACCTAGAACAGGAAAGCTGCAGGTTTCAAGAGCTAGTTCATAACCTCAGGTATTTGCCCCTTCCTTTCCTCACCCACTAACTCTAGCTCAATTCAGATCTTTCTTTGCTGACACCAGCACTCCTACTGTGACCTAATTGTCCTCCCTGGCTTCATCTCTTCACGTCCCAGACCATCTTCCTGACTACCTCCAAGTGAATTTTCCTAAAACTCCATTTTGATCAAGCCACCCCATTAAAGTCTGAATTCCCAGTCTTATCCCAAATTTTTTAACTTTTTATCTCAGTTGACATAAATACAAACCCTTCTCTGCAGCAGCCACCATATTGTATGCTTTGGCAATTCCATATCTGGTAGTTTTATTTTTTCTTTTTGAGATGGAGTCTCACACTGTCGCCAGGCTAGAGTGCAGTGGCGTGATCTTGGCTCACTGCAATCTCCGCTCCCTGGGTTCAAGCGATTCTCCTGCCCCAGCCTCCCAAGTAGCTGGTACTACAGATGTGTGCCTCACCACATCCAGCTAATTTTTGTATTTTTAGTAGAGATGGATTTTACCATGCTGGCCAAGTCAAGAGATCAAGACCATAACTGGTAGTTTCTAAAAGCATCCTCACATTAATTATGTGACATTACATGAGTTAAACTCTGAATTTCTGTTAACTCACCTCTAGAGCGGGGTAATGCCTTGCACAGATATGTTCGGAGCAGAAAATGAAAGGATATATGTTGTAGTGCTCAGGATAGTGCTGCCATCTGGTGGCAGTTTAACAATAATTAGTTAAACCTCACCAAATACTTAAGTAAAAGGAGCAGAGGAAAAGTAGACTTAGAATGTGTATGTGTGCTATTGTGAATAGTTTGCAATTTTGTGATGTATACAGTTGTCTTTATGTATTATGAAAACACAAAGGATACTATATTTTCACAACTTCATATTTAATGAACCTATGGTAAAAATATGTTTTATAAAAAAAGGAAATAATGGAAGTTTTTGTAAATTCTTGCCATGACAAGAACTATAGAATCTTTCTGGGCCTCATAAACTATATGCAGTTCAGTTTTATAATTCTATTTGTAAATACTTCTTGCATGCCTACAAGTCATAAGTTCTTAGGAATGTGTACTCAAAAGCAACCAGATGAAAGCATTCAGTTCTGCTTATCTGGACCAGACCTCCAGAGCATGTCCTCAGGCACCACTCTATGCTCCTGGTAAGGGAGTCCAGTTTACAGAGTCCTGAGCCAATTAAGTCCCCACACGCAAAGAGAGCAGATTAGTTTTCATGAAAACCTTGGAGACCCATCAAAGGATCCATTGTGTTAGATGTAAAGGACTCTGGGAAGGTTGGAGGACTCTATATATCAAGTCTGTGACTGTCTCCCAAGCACATACACTTTCCCTATGTTGTCATATGTATTTTTAGGTTTGTTAAGCCAGGGGTTCCCAATCCCTGGGTCATAGATGGGTATTGGTCTGGGGCCTATGAAGAACCAGGCCACACAGCAGGAGGTGAATAGTGAGTGGGCGAGCAAGCAAAGCTTCATCTGTATTTACAGCCACTCCCCATCACTTGTATTACCACCTGACCTCTGCCTCCAGCCAGATCAGCAGCACCTTAGATTCTCATAGGAGCATGAACCATATTGTTAACTGTGCATACAAGGGATCTAGGTTGCACAGTCATGAGAATCTAATGTCTGATGATCTGTCACCATCTCCCATCACCCCCAGATGAGACCATGTAGTTGCAGGAAAACAAGCTCAGGGTTCCCACTGATTCTACATTATGGTGAGTTATAAAATTATTTCTATGGATATTACAATGTAATAATAATAGAAATAAAGTGCACAATAAATGTTATGCATTTGAATCATCCCGAAACAATCTCCACCTATGGTCCATGGAAAAATGGTCTTCCATGAAACAGGGCCCTCATGCCAAATTGGTTGGGGATTGCTGTGTTAGGCTATTTAATAGTATAAGAGTTTATCAAACATTTTCAATGAATTGCCTCCAAGTATTTCCCTATTTCCTGCCACCAAAATCAACCAAACAAATGAGCGATAAATTTTGAAAAGGAGTTCTACACTTTGTGGAAAGAGTAACTGACCCCAAGGCTATTTATCCCTCTAGAAGAAAATAGCTAATCAAGAGGTTCAGAGGTACAAGGATGCAAGCCAAGCAACATGATTACCACCATCACATCCTTTCCTGCAAAGTTCACTGTGTTTCTGCCTAAACATTATTCCCACTTTGTATAAAAATATATTAATACAGGGAAAAAACACTTTTATCATTCTACATTACAATTTTTTAATGTCTGTTTCCTTAACAGGCTGATATGATTGCTAAAAGAAGGGTTGAACTTATATTAGAGAGAGAGAAAAGAAGGAGAGAGGTAAGTAATTTTTTTGTTGTTGTTGTTCAAAACTGTCTCACTCTGTTGCCCAGGGTAGGGTGCAGTGGCACAATCGTAGCTCACTGCAACCTCGAACTCCTGGGCTCAAGGGATCCTCCCACCTCTGCTTCTCAAAGCTCTAGGATTACAGGCATGAGCCATCACACCCAGCCTTTTCCTTCTGGTGTAAGACACCCGTGTAACAGCTCTTCAAGGCTGACTCTCTTATAACCTGATTTCTGTCTGTATAAAAATGTCCAGATATTGTTGCAACCTAGTGAGTTAGAAGGAAAGCGCCGCTCTTAATTTGAGCTCCAAATTAAGAGTCCTTTATTTGCCGGTGACCAAGAGTCAGCTAACGCTCAAAATCTCTCAGCCCCAAGGAAGGGGCTTGATTCCCCTTTATACCTTGATTTAGGTAGGGGAGGGGGAGCCTAGCTGAAGCGGAATTTTGCAGAAGCAGAACAAGCAAGTTAGATAAGGAAGCTGGTAACCAGAGGGCAGGAGGTTCCCAGGATTGTGGGTTGCTAAGGGCATTTCCATACAATTATCAAGGGGGTTGCAGGAGGAACTTGCCATACAATCAATCACCAAGGAGGGTGTTCACAACAGCAGGTAGACTTGCCAAGCAGGATAAGGTTACAGTGGTTACAGGTACTGTGAACAGTGTAAACCACTCTTAACAGTGTGGCGTGACCCAATAATGCATCTAAGGGGCCCGAGGTAAGAAGGGAGAAGCTAAGATGGAGCTTATCAGTCTCACAGCTAAGATGGAGTCAGTCAGGCTAGCACAAGTTAGGTTATTACACTACAAGTGCAACCACATGTTACCCTGGTGTGAATATGTTGGACTTCATGCAGAGGACTGCTGATATTATACAATGCAACTACAGGCACAAAGCATTGCAGAGGAGGGGCTGAAGTAGTTGCTGCTTTGTCAAAACAAAATAGTTACAACCAAAAGTAGATTTTAAAACCACTGGACCAAGAAAATTATGGTGCCATCTAAGAATAAGAACCCTCCTCTTTATTATTTGCCTTGATTTTCATTCATTTATGCAAAGCTTTTAGGTTGCAGTGAATGCCAAGAATGAAGTACTCAGACAATTCCAGCTGAGCAGGCCTGGGGGTAGCTCTTCTGAGAGAGTCCACCCCAGAATCCATCTACCATGTATTTATTGAAAGGGCCTATATTAACTACAAACATTTACTAGTTGGCTATTTGAGGTCAGTTACTGAGGCACCAGTGACCTTGTACAACACTCAAACGGCATTCTTGGGAGGCTGTTTTCAGCATTATCACACAACACACTCTACTCCCTGTCCTGTTTTCAGGGTCAAAGAGTTTCATTCTCATGCACAAATAACATACACCTAGGGCCTCAGTATTTTTCCATGCACTGACCTCAAATGCTTTGCACATAAGCTTGAATATGTTGCCTTGCACGCCCCCCCACATCTCCTTTTTTAATTCTTAGAGCATGCTGGTCATCCAATGCAAGGTAAGCTTCTATTGTTCTTCCCTGGTCATAAATGGGTTGGGTGGGTGCACAGAGCCATCTGCAGATGCCTAGCAAACAGATACAAAAAAGAATAAATATAGCGGCCATCACCCAAATGTGTATCTTTAACCTAAACAACCAAGTGTTGGGGTTTAACCCCTTCTTGTAATTGCTGAAGGGTACTTGTTTGTAATTGCAGCAACCATTCTTCAAGTTATTTGTTGAATTCACACTCGAGTGAAAATTTGAGAAGACAAATGGTCGTGAGAAGCCCCTTGGAGATGCCTTTCACTCTCTCCCAAGCATATTGGGAGCTATTATATGGCAGGAGTGTGATACAGATAGAAGTATATTGCCAATCTCAATGTAAATTTTGATGGGTTAGCCTGCTGCTGATCCCCCAGCCATTCAACAGCGGCTTCAAGAGCCTCCAGGCAAGACAGAACAGCTTTATCAATATTTACCTGTTCTTGAAATTCATGGGTTACATTATATACCATGTGGTTCACCACCAAGACTACCTGAATAGATCCTGTCAGAAAACAGCTTCAGTAGCTTCAGTTGCTTATATAATAATAGCTGAGACTAAAAAGGCAATTAAAGTGGCCAGAACTCTTTTTCCCAAGTATGAGGTAGTGCTTTTCTAAATAGCTGCAGGGTGGAATCTCCTTCCAAGCTCCAGGTTAAATTTACAGAGAGCCACAGTTCTGCACACTGTATTAAGAGCATAATATAGGTTATATCTACTGTGTAACGTTTCAATGAGACAAGTATGTAGCATACCAACTACCAGGAGAGACGCTAGTACTATAAAAGGATTGATTCTGCTCTATGTTAGGAACACCTTGCCCAAACAGAAGTATATAGGGTTGTGTAGTACAAATCAGGACTGTATCAGTAACATTATTGTGCAAAAAGAGGGTATAGTTGCCACCACTGGTAATGTACTCACCATATGAAAGAACCTATTCAAAAAAGAGAAAGGAAGACATAATCTCCAAATTTGGGTATGAGCAGGGCTTAAAGCTTGTTTCCCTTTTAGTTGTAATATTGGTCCTTGAAAGCCCATACTCGGAACTATTGGAGGGACATCCAAATCCGATAGTCTGATTTGCAAATATAAGATAACCATGGGCACCCCAATCAAGTAAGGTGCCATTATCAAACAGAGGTCCTTGGTATGGTCCAGGTTGTCTGCATGGAGATCACTAGATGGCCTCAAACTTGTATTGCCAGTTCCTACTCAGACAGCATATAGGAAGATTGGGCACTTATGTAGCTTCATTAGAGACCTCAGTAACATTAGTAGTAACAACAGAAATAAAGGTCAAATTTGCAAGCTTAGCATCCCTTTTGGGCTGATAGTAAAGATACTCCTGAGGAATGAGAGTAACACACTTACCATGTGCTATTGTGAAAAACAAAGAGGGGAATTACTCGACAATAAAGTCAAGGAGTCATTTCATTTAATTCATCCCAAATTTTTAGCTAAAGGGTAAGACAGGGACATCTATCGACCTCCTGTCCAAGAAATATCATTAGATGACAAAGACAGGTCAGCATCTCACCATGTAAAAACATTAAAAACCAGGGGATTTAGAACATTACTCCAATGAACATGTTCTTGAGCTGATCCCACTTGGCATAGGAAAAGAATTACCAGCCACTCTAACATCCTTATGTGTCTTACTTTCTCAGAAGTTTCCCCAATTACCGCCAGATACATAAGAATCCAATTCTCTGCAGTTGCAGGGGCTCCCAGGGATGCCTGTTGATCCAATCTCTTTAGCTGTCCCCAGGTAATGTCAGATGACTTCCGAGTCATCACCATCATTGTCAGTTGATTCTCCAATAGCAAGCCCTGTTCTCTAGGAGAGAGCCCCATATTCCCCCTTTTTGGTTTATTAAGATATACTTTAGGAGTTTAATGAGCTCGTTTAACAATGGCATAACTGGCTGAGTAATAGGGGATGCCAGTCTTGTGTTGCATGTGTTAAAGTTGCAATGCATATGTAAATTGAGCACTAAGATAGTAAGGTCTATTATCAGTTTTTGTAGTTTGTGGAAGGTCTAAAGTTATAATAGATTCAAACAAATCAGTAATTGCATCTTTAGTTTTTTTCTCTGGTCCAGGGGGGTATCATGTACAAGCCTGTATAAGTGTCCACGTAACGTGGAGAAATTTAAAAAGTTGAAAGGGTAGATACTGAATAACATTAGTTTGCCAGATAGCATTAGGCACTAGACCTCGTGGGTTGGCACCAAGCCCTAAGGAAAAAGCAGAGAGATAATGCTATTGGCAATCAGGACAAGTTTAATAATCCTGTGAGCTTAAGCAAGTGTGAAATAAAACTGTTGTTTAAGACTGTGGGCATTCTGATGAAAAAAAGCATGATCAGCTTGAGCTCACAAAAATGCAGAAGAAGCTGCAAACCACATTTGTGGTTGTACCAGAGCATCAGCTCAAGCGTTCCATTCTGATAAGGGACCAGGTAGCCCAGAATGCGAGCAAATATGTTTGATGTAAAGAGGGTGATGACAGGCACACAGAAGCTATTGCACTGCAAGAAACAAAGCTAGTAGAGATTCATTAGTAATGCCCTTCACATGTGCAAGATCTAAATGAGTAATACCAAATACCACATAAGCACAATCACTAACTATATTTATGTCTTAGTGAAGAAAAGTTTGTAAGGCCAATATCGGGGCATCTAACTCCTCCTGTTGCATAGTTTTAAAAGGCCACTGGATTTTGTGTTGCCAATTTTGAATGGCATCTTGTCACACTATAGCTGTCTTTTCAGTTTTTTCTGAACCATCTGTAAAGACAGTGATGGTGTGAAGTAAAGGCTTAGAGACACCAATAGATGTAAATTGAACAGGCACAGTTTGTAAAAAGTTTAGAAGCGTAGAGGCTGGTAAATGGAAGCTGATATTATCAATAAAGTTAGCCATTGCTACTTGCCAATCAAGATCACAAGCTACGAGAGTTTGAAATTGTTCCTTGCTTAATAGTAGGAAAAGAGTAGCAGGGTTATATCTTGATAATTGGACACAATGTCAGTGCCCCTTTACAAGAAGAGAAGCTATTAAATCTGTGGTCTTTTGTATATGTTTATAGGGGTTGTGAGACAGGTAACTAGCACATAGAATACAGAAATGGCAAAAGATAAAGGCTGCCTGTTAAACAAAGGCATGTAAGGGATGGATATTTAAAGTGATTTTTACCATATGTTGGCCCTTGAAGGTTATTAGAATGTGACTGCAAGTCACCAGGATAATAAACCTACATTGAGTTTGCTTAAGTGTGTAAAGAAAAAAAGAAAAAAAAAAATCCAAAAAACTTTTTTAAATGTCCTTAGGTGCTAGCCATTTTCCTGTATTAGCCTTTAGCTGGAATGTCTTAGAAGTGAGCTTGGGAAAGTAGGGCTGTGGCTGATTTCTTCCCATCTGCTCCAGGCTCCTTAGGCAGCCTCTCTTTTTAATAGCCTGCCACCT